CCTTCCTTCCTTCCTTCCTCCCTTCATTCCTTCCTTAATCCTCCCTTCCTTGCTTTCATCCTTTGTTGCTCTTTTGCTTTCTCTCTCTTTCATGCTTCGTTACCCAATCTCCTTCTAAAAATTAGGTTTCCATTCCATATACGTATATACTATACATGTTTAACCCGAAAAGTTGAAAATGCAAAATGGTTCTCTCAAGTTAGCTTAGGAAAGGGAACGTCTTTATTGTGACGGAAGGGCTTGGGATTCTTAGTAAATTTTCTTTTAAATGGTCGATCGTAGCACTTCACTGAAGTCAAGAAGGAACTAGATTTCATCAAATATGAAGGTTTGACCCCTCCGAAAGCTCAATTGATAACCCTCCCCTCTTTAATATCTCAAGTACCTTTGCTGTTATTTGTTTAGGAGCAGCGGCAAGGAAAGGTTTCATAGCTGCTAAGGAGAACTGTTTTGGACTCTGTCCATCATGGTGTACAGGCGGATGTAGATGCATATGCTACCCAACATGGCCACCGGGCAGTGGAGCCAAATGCAACTGGTCGTGTAGCTTTTAAACCAAATCCCTGACTTCCTGCGTGCCTGAACAACGTCATTTCTTTCAAGACCAACCAGAAGACTGTAGAACACTGTAGCTAGTACTAGAAAATCATTTTCGAGGTCAAATGTTTTGAATGGAATTCTACTCATTTTCTCTTAACAATAAATATCTGTAGAGCACAAATTTGTCCCAGTTTTTTATTTCTTTATTTTTCTAGGGGGGAGGGGAAGGGGTGGAAATTGTACCACAGGAATCCCACTAGTATAAAAACCATTTAATACCAGGAACGCCTGGCGATAAAGGCTGTCGCATTTAAAATTTCAAAGTCATACACAGAATGCTTGAAAATTCAACAGTTTATCTCGATCTTGAGTTTGAATATTTGATATTTGTTATTCTATTCTCTTAATGAAACTAAAGGAAGTTTTTATTGAATGAAGATGAACTATGAACTTGAAGAGACAGATTGCATAATACTACAAGACCTGCTGTACAAAGATAGCCATAACACATGTGCTAGACAAGACGGGAAAGCTGATATATTGTCAAAAGATAAGCTGGATTTATTCCTGCCCAAAGACTGCAACTGTGAAACTCCAGTGGTAGTGTTTATTCACGGTGGAGGATGGATGAGAGGCGACAGAAGGGCTTATCGTCATTATTTTTCTTGCTACGACACTAATCTTCTGGTAGCTTTGGCTTTAGCATACTACGATGCATACTGGAACGTCGGCAAGGCTTTTGCAAGGGCTGGAGTCGCTTGTGCTGTTGTTTCGTATCGATTGAGTCGACTAGAGTTTCCCTGGTTGATAATTGAACTCTGTTTTTCTCTTTTTATGTCATTATCAGTTTTTTTAACTCCTCTTTTCTGCTTTGCTGTACTGGCGTATTGTTCTTCACGGATCTTTGGATTTAATGTAACAACTTTAGACTTGGCTAGGACATCGTACATGCCTTTATTCACTGTTACTGTTATCTTAGTTCTCTCGTCATTCTTTATTTTATGGTTCATTATTTGCAATGCTGGCGAAGGGTATTTCATTACCCCATTAGAAAAGTTCTTGCCATTATTAATGTCACTCCTTGTAACATCAATATCCATGCTTATAATCGACATAAATGTTACATCGGTTGCAACCTGTTTTACCTTATGTCTGGGTCTCTGCCTTCTTCATTCGTTTGGGACATTCCAGCAGACATGGCGTCCAGTGGTTACCCACCCATCGCACATAACTGATGTTGCATGTAGCGTGAAATGGATCAAAGATTATGGCTCTACGACCCAGAAATTCAATCCAAATCAAATCTTTCTTTGTGGACATTCAGCTGGAGGGCATTTGGTTTCTCTATTAGCACTTGATCATAAATACCTAATGAAATTTGGATTATCTGTAACTGATATTAAGGTAAGCAGTTTCTTTTGATTTTAGTTTCATGTTGCTCAATATAGATTTCTATAGTTGATGGATAAAAAAAGTTTGTTGTCTTATGAATCTCATTTCAAAAGGAATATGCCATTGCTTTCCTTTCCATTTCTCTCTCCTTTTTTCTCTTTTCCTTTCCTCCACTTAGCTCCAATTTTCTCATTATACTTTCATAAATTAGAGTTTGGATGGGAGCCTTAACTAATTGCACTAATAGACCTATCCCGAATTTGCTTGACTGACCACGAAACAATGGTTTGAAATTGAGACTGGACTTGATTCTTTTATTCATCAAGTTCAACCTCAACTTGAAACCATTGTTTCGTGATCAGTCAAGCAAATTTGGGATAGGTCTATTGTTTGATTTCTGTTAATGAACATGATTATATCATATCTCCAAGGGTGTCATGTCATTGTCGGGTGTCTACAACCTACATATTCTTTCTGGTGGTCTCCTGGAGTACCTCTTCCTAAGACCTGCATTTGGACATAACCATGACAACTGGACAGCTGCATCTCCATATCATCAACTAATGCGACACAAAGAAATCACCAAAGAAACAAATTGTAAACCTTACTCAAGCTGCGGGTGTTATCATGGTGATGATATTTCAGAGTGTTTTTGTACTGTCAATACTATAAACCAAGAGAAAACTCCATTTCTCATCTTAAATGCAGAGAAAGATCCCCTTTTACAGCAAGACGCTGAAGAGTTTGTAAAACTTTTGAAAATAAAAGAATATTCATGTCAGCATCATGTAGTGAAAAAAACAAACCATCTTTCCTTAGTTCTGTCATTTGGAAGGATTCAAGAAGAATGGCAAGCAGTAGAAGAGCATTGCTTGAAGTTCATCAAAGACATTGGGTCCAGAATCAATTGATATCAAAGTATTCTTTCAAAAGCATCAGTTAAATTTTTCACGAGTAGAAAGTGATTATTTCATTACACAAACAAAAATAATGGTGTTGTGTTTTCATAGTAGGTGTATTATCAATTCAGAAATCACCCAACACAGTTATTATAGCAATATTTTTATTTAAAATCAAGAGTACATATTTTGCTTATAATCATGATTTTTGCATAAAGAAAGAAAAGAGAAAATAATTTCTTTGCTGAATAGAAAGTCAAATATTTAATGGTTTGTGATGGCTTAAAGTTCAGATGTTTGGTGATTGTCTTCAAGAAAATGTTTTTTAAAATCAATCTTATTTAAGTCTACACAATATTTAACTGAGCATATATTTCCATTGATTTTGTGAGTAATGTTCTAACTATGTAGGCATTATAATTTGCTTGCTAAAACTCAGGAATGTAAATATTTATGACAACACGTAATTAAAAGAAATTAAATTAAATTAAAGTTAAAAGGGTTGAGTTCAAGGTATTCTATATTTTGATTCATATTTTGTTGTTTTTTCCTCATAGTTTTGCTCATTCATCTTTTATTCATGCATTGTTTTCATATGTTGTATCTGTTTATTTAATGGTCAGGGTGTGATGTCTTGGTATTGACATGACACTAAGGAGAAGAAGCAGGACATGTACATTGACAGTCTACATGATCATCTGCTTGTGATTCCATATCTTTATCTTTTCCTTTAAAAGCCTTCAATATTTCATCAAATTTCTCATCAGTGATCTGCTGCTCTACCTTCTTTGCTTCATCTGTTCCATTATCAAGGCAATGGTAGGTACGTTTGGCAGATGATTGTCGTGTAGGCTGACAGTTTGGAGCGCAGCGTGTCACAGGCCTTCTGCTGACACACAATTTTCCACTTGGCCTTTGGATGTCAGGACGATAGACAAGTTTACACTCTAAAAATGAAAATGCAACCCTGTAAGTACTTTATATATTTTTTATTGTATTTGTTGATGATTCGTTGATTGCTATTGCTAGCAAAAATATTTTTTTCATTTGAAATAGAAACATAACTGAATATTTTGTGTATGTACAACCAAAATTGAAGGAATAAATTTTACTTTATCCCATTTATCCACAATCCAATTTCTTCCATTTGTTCTTTCATTCCAATTTCCCATTTCTGTATCACGTATCTCAGTATCCATCAATCAAAAAAGTGTTTCGTTTTGTACCTGAGTTGCACCCCTCTCCTGGAATAAGCCAAGAAGTGCCAAAAGTCTCGTTGTTTGCTTCTTTTTCAAAGTCTTGTGGAGCCATGAAATCATCATTTGACTGCCAGTTGAAGTTTCCACACATTCCACACATGTAACCAAAATACCTGTCAAAATATCAATAACAAACGTTAGTATCTGTGTCCAAAGTAGAAAAAATGGAGTAAAAGAAAATGAAATGGGATTAAATCAAGTGCATGTAATGTAAGAGCATGTAAGGTTTGAGTTGCAGGCGACTTCCCCAAAAATTGGAAACAGATTTAAAGGCAAAAATTGGTTAATTAGCCTGCGTAGCGGCCAAATTGGGGGGAATGAGAGGGCAAGGGGGAATGGGTAATTGACAACATTCCCTTTCTGCCAGTCATTCGTTCAATCAATATGTCCCAGTGAGGCAAAACACAGCAACTCATTAACTAGTAACATCTAGATCACCACATTTATGGTCTCCTAGGATTTTAAAGAGAATTTGTCTTTCTCATCATCAAGCACTATAGAATTCTAAGTGAGTAGGCTTATTATGAAGTAGGATTTTGCGGATAAATGCATTTTCAAGCATTTGCAAGTTAGCGACGAGAAAACACTTCCAGGCCATGGTATCCAGGCATTCATTACTCTGTTCAGGGATTTACTTACCAAGGTGTTACTTTGATCTTTAGATCACCACCACGAGCTTCCAGTATCACTCCTGCTTTGCACTTAATTACTAGTTGGCTGGACCTCTTGAACACTCTGCAAATCTTTGAAAAGTCTACTTCAGCGCCTTCCTACCGAAAACAATCGTTAAAAACAAAATGAAATGTGTGTATGTGTATATAATCTGATGGCTAAAAATCAATAGGTCAATTGGTGTCTATGAGTTTCACTGGGATGGGGACTTTCACGATGGAAGTTACTACACGACAAAATGTGTAAGAAGAACAGGAAGCAAAGTCAAGCAACAAAGAAACAATACTCGAGGGAATGCCTGCCGTATGCCTCAGTGTCTATGCATGAGTGCCAATCTCGCTGTGTTAATGACCTTTTATGATGGATGTCATAGCCACGACAACATGTTAAAAAAGAAAAGGAAACAATGTCCAGGAAAAAGGAACTCTAATGAAGATCACATGCCCCAATGCCAGGTAAAGTACACCGTACGGACGTTCGTACTTAAAAAACTTGTCATTGCTATTCGCCACCTCAAGTACAGCAGCGGCGCAGCTTAACGGGTTTTTGTTCTTGAACATTAACTATGTAACATTAACTTCAATGTATTTGACTTACACTAATTTGCACCAGCTTGCCATTATGCAACACAGTCATGTCAGGTTTGATGACAAATACATGACCTTTGTTCTTTTTGTCTTTGATTACCAGTGTGTAGATCTTTTGGTTAGTATTGTCCTTGTTCATAAACACAGTGAACAAATCTTTCTTGGAGCAGTCTTTAGCCAAGACGTGTGGGCAGCGTTTGCTTTGGTCGTAGGTGTATGTTCGTTTGTCAAAAGTAGTGATTTCATTGCTAAGAAGAACGTTGCATGTCTCTGAAATTCGAAAAATTACGAGAATATCCTTCACTGTTTTATAGACTTAAACTATAGAGGTATTAGAAAGAATATAACAAAGGGAGATAGAGGTTATAACTGCTTCCAAGATGGTTGCAATGGTCATGTTTCTATTTATAAACGAAATCGTGGGTCAGCATCCGCGGAGTCTTAAAACAATAGAGTATAGAGACCACACTGCATATACTCGGGATATTTTCCAATGTTAGTCTTTTATTGTCGCACAGATGATGTTGGATAATGATCAAGTCGCAATATTTTAGAATACAGCTAAAGTCGGGGCACGACTTTCTCACGGACTTTTGTTGGGTTTTGCAAAGAAAGGAGAACCCAGAGGAAAAAACCGGAATAATGGGAGAAACCAAACAAATTCTATTCAAATGTCATGCAAAGCCTAGGAATCGAATGCAAGAACTCAGAGGCAAGGGACGAGTGCCGCTATCTCTACCACATACATACCTGTAATTCCGTACAACATGACGTCCTTGGTTTTTTCAAACACCTTTGTTCCATTGAAGGGCAGTTGGTAAGTAACGGGTTGAGGCATAAGCGTCCCAGCTAGTTCCAAGGTGGTTGAATTTTTCAAGGATAGCTTGAAATTAAGGCTCGTGAAGCAAGGAATCTCTCCAATGCCTGGGAAGCCAGCAGATCCATTACCAAATCCCATTCCTGG